GCACTAGAAATATTGATGTGCAGTGCCTCATCGCTACAAAGGGGTTGTTTTGTGAATTTGTCTGTGTAATAGGGAGGATGGCCAAGTCAAAATATTCCCTTCTTTTTTCTTTTTTCTTTTTGTTTGATTTATTTTTATAAAACACGGCTCCATTCACAACCCAGGATACAGATTAAGTGAATTAATTTAAAATATTATCATTTTAATTTATTTATTTTTTTAAGTAGAACAACAGCATTTAATAACACTGGTTTGATTACGCAAGAAACTAAATTTCAAAGAGTTTACAGCAAGAGTTTATGGTTATTTGCTTAAAACGGTGCGCACTAGAAATATTGATGTGCAGTGCCTCATCGCTACAACGTTACAGGAGTCTGGAATCTTGATCGTTGCCATTTCAAGTCACCATCTCTGAAGCTTGATTCAAGAGGGAAATCTTTTCTCTCTTGTGTTCGAATTCAATGGAGGATATGGGGGAAAATTGGTGAATCATTAGAAGTAAATGATCTGTCTGATATTATATTTCGAGGGGATATGGTGAATCGGTATATATAAAAATTGGTCGAAGAATATGCGATTGCTGAAGAAATTATTTTTACACCAGGAGAATGGAGATTGGCAAATTTGGATTAGCCAACTTGATCACCGTGTTTTGTGTGTGGAATAAGTTTTTATTTAATTCCATGAATTATTCCTATTAATTCTAAAGAAATTTCATGAATCGTAGAGAAGACATCTAGTCATGAATGAATATGGAAGATGTAATCGAAGTTATGAGACCTAATCATTGTTGATATACATTAATCCCAAATGAATTTATTTAAATATTTTTTTAAAAAGAAATTAATAATATTATTTTTAAGATTTTTTAAAATTAAAATCAGATTTTAACTGTGTTAGCAGGTTACAAGTTAATCTATTAAATTATTTTTTAAAAAATTAATTTAAATTAGAAATTAAGTAGATTAAGTTCCAGAGTGATCTATCTAGATGTATTGTTTTAATAATTATTAAATCAAGAATATTTTTAGATGAGTTTTTATAATTTTAATATATTGATATTTAAAATATATATAAAAAATAATATTATTTTAATATATTTTTAATTAAAAAAAAAATTTACAAAGCAATTATCATATTATTAAACACACAAAAGTGGTCAACTATAAAAGTAATTTTGAGAGAAAAAAATGCAAGTTATTTAATAACATCTTGATTAAGAGTTGGTTGAGTACACGGTAGTATTCCATGAATTATTCCTATTAATTCTAAAGACATTTCATGAATCGTAGAGAAGACATCAAGTCATGAATGAATATGAAAGCTGTAATCAAAGTTATGAGACCTCATCATTGTTGATATATATTAATCCCAAGTGAATTTATTTAAATATTTTTTTAAAAAATTAATATTATTATTTTTAAGATTTTTTAAAATCGAAATCAGATTTTAACTATATTGAGCATATCACATGTTAATCTATTAAATTAATCTCAAATTAATTTTTTTAATTAAAAAATAATTTTACAAAGCAATTATCATATTATTAAATATACGAAAGTGGTCAAGTATAAAAGTAATTTTGAGAGAGAAAAATGCAATTTATTTAATAACATCTTGATTAAGAGTTGATTTAGTACAAGGTAGTATTTATTTTTTAAAATATTTTTTATTTAAAAATATATTAAGATATCATTTTTTATTTTTAATATAAATATATTAAAATAATTTCATAATATTTAAAAAAAAATTCAATTCTTTTTTCCCATAAATTTCATGCTTGGGAATTACATGCATTAGGCGAACATGAGCAGTTAGTCGGCAAGTCTTTTTTATATCCCTGGCTACATCGTGCCAGCTATGGGAATAGAAGTGATGGAGATTATAAATATATTAAAATAATTTCATAATATTAAAAAAATTCAATTCGTTTTTCCCATAAATTTCATGCCTGGGAATTACATACATTAGGCGAACATGAGCAGCTAGTCGGCAAGTCTTTTTTATATCCCTGGCTACATCGTGCCAGCTATGGGAATAGAAGTGATGGAGATTAATTGATTGATGTCGTCCTTTTTTCCTTCCCCACCGCACCCCAACCCCCCCACCCACCTTTTTTATTTTTAATAATTTCTCGCCTGAGAAAATGGCTACATGAACAGGCCTGTTACTAGGGAATTGGACAGGGCAGGCCCTGAGCCTGATAGGTTGGTAGCTTCTTTTTTTTTTGTGTATACTAATTTTACAGGAAGTTTTAAAATTATAAACTCATGGTTATTTAAAAATAAATTCAAAACTTAATTAATGGAGCTACCTTTCAGTATTAATTAGTTGAATTTTGATATGCCATGTGGAATCGATTAGCTTGCGCATGGATAATTAGTAAATTTATAATTAAGTTTTTATAGAGTGGAGGCGTGTGTTTTTAACTCAAAAGAATCTATTTTTTTACATGTAATTTTTTTTAACACGTACTAGCTCAGGCCCCTGATTGGCTTAGATTTCGGGTAGACCAGCTGGCCAGTACGGTGTCCGAAAGAATGCTTTTAATGAGAGGGGAAGCAAACAAATAAATAATAATTCCTAGGTTCCCATGGAAGGGGGCTCCACGAAAGCAAGACGTCACAATGCACGGAAGTTTTATTGGACATCGAATAGAAGGTGCTTAGAATATAATTGGCTAAATTGTAAGATTCAATACACGCGCTCTTTTGGAGACTGAGGCTACGAACCAATCACTTATAAGAGAGAATTATTTTCCTTATATCATAACTAATTTGCTAGCGTGCAAGTGAAAGTCACGAGCCGTGTGACGTCGGCAAGAAAAAGCTGATGACTGTGACATGAACACATTTAAAGTGCCTTCACTTTTAGGTTAATGGGGTTGAAATTGTTTTTTTTTTTAATATTTTTTTAAAGATATTAAATTTATATTTTTTAATAATTTTAATATTATTTTATTAAAATTATCTAAAAGGATGTAAAAAATTCTAATAATTTTTTTGATTGAAAACACTTTAAACTAAATTAAAAAAATATCTAAAAATACAATACTAAACAATGTCTTCATCAATAATAAAATAAATTTAGAGAGAATTTCTATCCTTTAAAAAAAGAAAATATGAGAATAGATTTTTTTATTTTAGTTATTTATATATTTTTTTTATCACAATAACTAAATAATATTTAAAAATTGTTTTATATATGAGCAATATTTTTTTACTCTCAAATAATATTTTTAAAAAATTTAAATTTTTTTTACTTTAAATTATTTTTTTATATTTTTAAATCATTTTCATATATTAATATTAAAAATAAATTAAAAATTAAAAAATATATTATTTTAATATATTTTTAAATAAAAAATATTTTAAAAAAAAAACTTGAATATAACTTCAAATGCGACATCTTTATATATATATGAAATTTTCTTCCTGGAAGATGATGCATTTTCTCCTCACTTTACAAGCAAAAACATCTAAATGTATGAAAATTAAAGTTATAAAGTCCTGTATAATTGACTATTTAGGGGCTGATTAGAATTAAAATGCAACCATGTTTGATGATTTTTTATTTTTTAATTATATTTTATATATTTTCAAGTTGTTTTTAACATGTTAATTTTAATATATATTTAAATAATTTATTTTTAAAATAACTATTATCACACCTCGAACATCTCAATTTATTTCATAGAATTCACAAAGCATGAGCATCAATGGGATCATACAAGAGGCAGATGGTAGGTTTTATATTCGAGTTTGAAGTTAATACTATTATCACACCTCTTTTATTAAAAATACGTATTTTTATATAAGACAACAGATATTATGTTGTTTAATACTTTATTAATATAAGATCGTAGGTTTTATTACTAGTTTCTTAAGATTCCAAAGGGGGGGAAAAAGAGTTATTTATACTCTCTCCCTCTCTCTCTCTCTCGTCTTTTTATTTATTAATTAAGACATTCAAGCTCTCCTCAAGCATGGCAGGGAGTGCAACCTTCAGCATGCTCTTGGAAGACATGTCCATAACCATGGAAGGGGAGCTCACGCATGCATCTTCACCATGAAGATTCATCACTCTTCGTATTACTAAAGTTATTAATTTTATTTTTATAAATATTTTAATTTCAAAGTATATTGACATGTTATTTCAAGGTTATATATATTCAATAAACATAATTTAAATTTAAAATAAATTAATTATAAATTATACAATACAAACACAATGCTAAAAAAATATAATTTTAAAATTTAAAATATTTCTAAATAGTTAAAATTAAATAAATCTTTAACTTAAAATAATTCAACTTAAACAAAATATCAAAATATTATGAAAGTAAAATATTATTTTAACACAAATATTTTAAATATAAAATTAGATCAATGTTATTAAGGCTAATGAGATCTAAAATATTCATTATTTTGCTCAAATTCCTAGAAAGTATAAATATGAAAAAAAATGAATATAAATTATATATATTATTGATAAATCTAATTTTAAAAAATTAATATTATTGTTAATGAAAATAGTAATAATAATTTTTAATATTATTATTAATATCATTATTATTAAAAATTATACTGAAAAGAAGCTTTTTATACTTGGATGGTTTAATTAATTAAATTGAATCAGGTTTAATTTGATTCAATGATTTTTCAAAACTGGAACGGAACATGTAGAATGAAATCGAAATATTCTGATCGAAATTTAGCTAAAAAATCCAGAACAAATATATATATATTGTCAAAATGAATGAAATATGCATCGCTGAATTGCCAAAGTTGGGGTGGGTGCCTTGTTGCTTTGTTTTTTCCACTTCGTAATTCAAATATTTTGCTAGTGAAAAATAAAATAAATCACAACTATCAATCAAAAGAAAAGGAAATTAATTATTAGCATGAATTAATTAATTACAGAAACAGAGAAACTTTTTCTTGATGTCTATCTTAATCTTGAAGTTTAGTTATGGAAATCCCCATGTTGCTTACAAATATTAGCAACTTGGCTATTCAGTTCTATACATGAACTAGCCTGTTGTATATATCTAGCTGTACATGAGTTTGAAAGACGAGGCAATTTCACTCTTGTTTCCAGCCTTGCTCCACTGCATTTTCTCCATGAATCAACCACCCAAAAACCTACAAAAAAGTAGCAGCAGCAATAAGGGAGTGGAACAAAATCTAAATATGTTTTCTTGTAAGGCTTTAATCAGTCAAAACTTATGGATTGACATATTTTTGAATGCAAATTTATAGTTCTTATTGCAAGACTAGTAAATTGATTCATGGAGTTTTGAGGTGTTAATTCTTGCAAGAAATGAATGGTCAGGCATTATGAGCTGGAACACTGCAAAGCCCCTCAATTTCAAGCCTTTTTTGTAAGGTTCTGGTTGCTTTCTTGAGATATGGAACTTCAGACATCATTTTTAATTTTTGAGATGTGGAACATGATGCCGACTTCTGCCTGTTACAGTAGCATGATTGATACTATAGCAGGAGTGCATTGCTTACTAGAGCCATCTCTTCTTTGGAGTTGTATCCTTGGATGAACTTTGAGTTTGCCTTCTAATCTTCCTGCCGTCTCCTCCAGCTAACATTTGCTTTGGCTTTGAAGGAGAAAGACCAGAAGATTCTTGGTTTCTTGATGTTTCTTTAGGAGGACTTTCTGCTCTAGACTTTGCATGAAGTTCTCTACCTTTCCTTCTAATCTTCCTGATGTGCTCTCCAGCTGACAACTGCTCTGGTCTCGAAGAAGAGTTTCCAATGGATTTTCGCTTTGTTGGTATTTCTGTCAGAAGCCTTTCTGATCTAGAATTTGCCTTTGGTTCCGTTAACCCTACCGAAAACGTTGAGGCCTTCGCTTGAGCTGGTTTCTGGGTTGTTGTCAAAGTGAGGACATCACTCTGAACAGGAGTCTCCTGAATTTAAACAACAGGAGGTTTTTTTCAGTCTGTACTTCATAGGAGAGAAGTCTGAACTGGAAAAGCAAGGCTATTGGTACTATTCTGCGCTAAGGGTCACCTGAACCGTAAAAGGAGGAGGTTGTGGTTGGTTTGAAGGAGACGAATCTGAATCAGAAGAGGAAGAACTGTCCAGGTCATAGAGTATGTTATCCACCATGATAGGAAGTTCCCAATTGTCTGAGATAGATAACGAATGGGATGGTCCCCGAAGTCTCGGAGAAAGCTCCGCCTGTAAAAAGTTATGTGAGTTTTGGCAATTGTCTAGAACACTTCCCCAACTACCAAATAAATAATCCTGCTAACACTGAATCCTCACCTTTTCTTCTAAGACCACCATGTTCCTCTTAAGTCTTTTGATCATTGTGTTCTTCCTGCATATAATGTCTTCCAATTCGGCAAATCTCTATTATCATGGGAAAAAAGATGTGTTCAAATAAATCAGACCTAGATATGGTGAGAGGAGAAGGGCTAATGCAACATACTCACTGAAGTAATTATACCTTTGAACCTGCAAATGATTGAAGATCGGTGCTCAGCTCCTTTATGGTGGCATCCTTTTCTTCACACTCTTTCTTCAGATTAAACATGTCTTGGTCTATTGCAAAGGTGTTCATCTGTTATAGAGACAGAACATGAATAGGAAAGCAGCATAGCACGTTATCCTCCTTGATTGTAGGAAATAATTTAGCAGAATAGTTGGGTGATTGTTTCTATAGTCAGTTTCCTACTAGAATTATAACTGTACATTCCTATATAAATAAACCTCTCCACCACAGCAGGAAGTGTGGCTTTACAATTCCTGTTAAAAGGAATGCAAACTTCATATATCGGTGAGTTGTTAACTCCAGCAGCAATCCGGCGGTAGGTGTCTCCCAATATATTTAATAGCATTTAACTATAAGAAAACAAATTTATGACTGTTGTGGAGAAACTGAGCAACTGAGCCTTTTTCCATCGTATGATTCATGTTGTGGAGAATCATGACTGTCCTTCATGATATTGAATCTTTGGACAACAAATTTATGAGGCTATTACAGATGAAAAATCTTGAAAATGTAATTACTGGGCCAGAATCACCCATTACCTGTATTTCTTCTGCAGAACCAGTTGAAGCCCAATCTGAAAAATCTGACATTTGCTGCTCTTCTGGTTCCTCCTCATTTCGGAAAGGGATTTTGCGATGCAGCATCTCATCCCCTCTAGGCATTCTCACAGCAGAGGTCCCCTGGTAGAAAATGTGGAAAATTTTAGTGTTTCGATGGTAGAAACTGATCATGGTCTGAATATCACCCCTGAAGCTCCAACTAGGCAAAAAAGTTATTGTATCTAACATAAAACGATTCTCACCACCAAACCAGCTACATGTTCTTGGTGTTCATCATGTTCTTGGTGTTCATCACATTGCCAGGAACCACCGTCAACAAATTGGATTCTGTCGCAGCCAAAAGCATCGTTTGCTTTAGTTTCTTCCTGATTATTAATGTCATTCAGCTGATCACACAGATTGTCAAGCTTCTGCTCCATGCTTGATAGAACCTCATCCTGAAATTATTCAAATTCAGAAATGATCAGACCATTAAATTCCAAAGAAATTTTTTTGATGATATATCTGTCTTAAATATCACAGTGCAAGATGGAAGAAACAAAAAGATCAATCATTATGATTAAACGCTCAAGAATAAATTCATGAATAATTAATCATCATTAAGGACAGTCTAATTAATAAAGCAAGCAAAGATGAGATTTCTGACCCTTAGCTCCACAGACTTTTTGAGCTGATTGATGAGCCTATTCTTTCTAGACTCAGCAACAGCAAGACCAAGAGCAGCAACAATGAGAAACCTTTGAATTGGACTAGACAGGTCTGAACCCACATTTTCATCTCGGTTAAAGCCAATGCCAATGGCTATATCCGAGCTGGCTTCCCCTTCATTCACAAGCTGTTCTTCTGGGTCCACCCATGGCAACCGCCGAGGTGATGGAACAGCTTGGCTTGGCTTGAACTGGCTCGAGAGCCGGGGCGAGGTGGGAGCAGAAACCGGAGAAAATAGGGAAAGAGAGACTAGAGCTGGAGGAGCACCGCGCCTAGCTGAGAAGGCAAGCTTGTTATGATCAGCAGCCATGAAGAAAACTTGAATATAGCAGAATTTTGTTTCTTCGAAACGTAGGCAATCACAATTGTTTGTCTTTAATAGCTTAAGTTCTCACTGGATTAGTTATTCACCTGTGGTGCTAAATGAAACACTTACCAAAAATATACATTCAGTGCGGGATTAAAGAAGCTGTAACCATAAGCAAGCAACGACCATATGGGCTCACGAAGCCATAGCCATGTAGAGAAGCACAACAGCTCAAGTATGGCTACGAGAGGTGAGATGCATGCAGTTAGGCACGTCAGGATTTTGCATGCATTGTTTCCTTTTGTTATTAGAACAGGTTGGAGGGGTCAGATTGAGGCAGAAGTAGCTATAACCACATTACCAAGAGAGGAAATATGGTTATGATTTTGTGGCTGACAGACTATGGAGGTTTCTTGAATGGATGGTCTAGGGATCATGTGTATTTTAGCTCTAACCAAGTTTTTGTAGGGAATACGGTTGCCTCGCGCGCATTACATTCCAAATATAGAGCAGAAGTTACTACATGGGATCATGTATATCTGATATGAAGGGATGATTGGAAATTTGGTAATGGTTATTTTTTATTTAAAAATATATGAAAATAATATTTTAAAAAAAAATTAATACTAGTGCATCAAAACAATACAAAAATATAAAAAAATTAATTTAAACAAAAAAATAAATATTTTAAATTTTCATGAAATGTTATTTGAAATGCAATTTCAAATAGTGTCTAAGTTAGTCCGGATAAAAATTATTGCTAGTTTTTTTGGTAATTATTCATTTTGATTATTATTTGAAATGCAATTTCAAATAGTGTCTAGATAAAAATTATTGCTAGTTTTTTTTGGTAATTATTCATTTTGATTACTGTTTTTTCTTTAATTTTAATCTTCATGGTTTTCTTTGATACCGTATTATACATTGTGTTTATAATATTAAAAAATTAAATTTTATTTTATTATATTTATTCAACACGGTAAGAATTTTATATTAAATTAATTGAGACAAATTATTAGTTAATTTCTCAATCAATATAATATTAAAAAATAAAATTAAAAAAATAATTGTAACTGTAATACAAAATATTAAATAAATTAGTTTTTAAGTCTTATTAAATCTTTATTACTTGCATTATCAAATATGGTTCGTCAATAACTTTAAGAGATATATCTTAGTTAATCAGTCTCTGATAAATAAATTAGTTTTTAAGTCTTATTAATCTTTATTATTTGCATTATCAAATATGGTCCGTCAATAACTTTAAGAGGTATATCTTAGTTAATCAGGCTCTAAGTTTATTCTTCAAAAATTAATAGTTCGAGTCTTTAAGATCTTAAAATTACTAAAAATTTATATAATTATTAATTTTAAAATTTATAAAATTAACTAAGATGGATGTAAATCAGCTCAAACATATGCAAGCTGTTCATAAAAGCTTTGATTCTTAGATTTTAACAAGGTTTATGGATGGCCGAGTAAAATGGGGTAAATGAGAAGAATAAAGAATTATCCTGTAAAGGGCAAATCAAACTTGCATAGAAAACTGGACACAACATAATCAAACATGCATTGACCTAGAGGTTCAACAGAAGATCCGATGAACAACAACTCTGTTTTAGATAGGTTTTTTTTAAGTTTTAGATAGTTAGTATTTTAAAGAGAAAAAAACTAAAACAACTGTTTAAAAAAATTTTCTTATATATGTTTTAACCTGATTAACTTTTCAAAAAAAAAAGAAATCTAAACCAAAATCAGTTCTTAGATTATTAAGAGTTATCGAGTTGATTTCCAAGCTAGATTAAATTTGATAACTATTATCCATATCAAAGATATTAAAAATAAATAAATTGTATTGCTAAATAGCCAAATCTAGACGGTGTAGGTGACTATAATGATCTTTGAACAAAATAAAATTTCCAATTCTATCTCCTATTTGTGAAACACAACCTAATTAACCCCCACCATTTACATTTGTGAAAAATAATGAGATCACTGGAAGACAAACAGGTCCTTTTTTCTGATTCTAAGGAGATGGTTATTTGGAAAATGTCCAATTGATTTGGGGGTCCCAGTTGATATTTGGGGGATGGATATGTCCTTTACCAAAAAAAAATCATTAACAGGAAGAAATATAACTAAAGCTGGTATTTTTAGAAAAAAATATTATGTCTGGACATCTACAGAAATTCTATTACTTTAACAACATATCATAATGATAGCAACATGGCCCTTCCAGTTCTAGATATCAACTAGCCTGTTGTATATCTCTGCCTGCAAATGAGTTTGAAAGACAATGGCATTTTTCTTCAATTGCCAGCCCTGTGTTACCCTTATCTACATACATCTACCGCATAAACCTACAAAGAAGTGGCGGCAAAAATAAGGTTTCACGACAGAATATGCTTTCAGATAAGCAACATATCAACCAACAAGCATTGGATATATCTATATAAGAGTAAAAGAATATCTCCCTCAAAGGGTCCAGTTGAATGTGATAATGACACATCTGTAATTCACAGGGGTTTATACAGTTTATGGAATCAAATTTCCAGTATTTATTCCCAGAATCTAGCTTATGTTTGCAAAATTACAATGTTGTTTGGGTGGAGATTTACAGTGTTAACTCCTGAAAGAATCGAAGAGTCCAACATTGATAACAGAAAGCAAAGTTTCGAGCTGAGAGCAGATCAACTTTTCAAGTCATTGTTATAAAGTTTTGATTGCATTTTAAGCATCAACGAGTCAGTTATTGACTTCGCCTCATTTTTTAAGATTCTGAGATATGAAACTCTATGCCAACTTCTTGGAAAGCAAATTTAAAGGTCTTTGGAAAACTAGAAAACAGAAAATGATTTGGCTCCCAAGCTTTGTTCGAGTACCATTAGCAAGTGAAAGTAACAATTGAAACTGCATTTATGTTAAACTATGACAGGTTTGCATTACTCACTAGAACCATCTCTTCTTTGAAGATGCATCCTTAATTGCACTTTGAGTCCGCCTTCTAGCCTTCCTGATTTCAGCTGACAACTGCTTTAGCCTCGAAGAAGGGAGTCCAATGGACTTTTGATTTGTTGATATTTCTTTGAGAGGACTTTCTGATCTAGATTTTTTGTGAAGTTCTACCACAGAACTGGAGGCCTTTGCTGGTGCTGATTTCTGGCTTTTTGTCAAACCAAGCTCACTGCTCTGAACAGGAGTCTCCTGAAGATTAACAACAGGGACTTGTTTTCCAGTTCATAGAGTAGAAGTTGAATTTGAAAGTTACACTAATTGTACTATTCTGATAAGGGTTACCTGAATATGAGCAGCAGGAGTTTGTGGTCGGTTCGCAGGAGAGGAATCTGAATCAGAAGAGGAAGGGCTAGTGGTGCTATCCATATCATAGATTATGTTATCCACCATGAGAGGAAGTTCCAAACTGTCTGAGACACATAAGGAGGACGATGGTCTCCTAAGTCTTGTAAGATGCACCACCTGTAAAACCTCAAAGAAATGAGAGGTCACAAAGCATATACATCTTCTCAAATCAAGTTTCACTGAGTTCCAACTCTTCTCCAAATAATTTTGCTAATACTGACTTCTTACCTTCTGCTCTAATACCATCATGTCCTTCCTAAGCCTTGTGATCATCGTGTTCTTCCTGCGTATGATGTCTTCCAACTCAGCTATTCTCTATTATAAAGGGAAAAAAGTTGTGTCGGAGAATAAATCAGATAGAAATGTGGTGATTGGAAAAGGGCAAAGAAAAAATAGTTGAAAAATATTGCTCATGAGTTCAAAATACCTTAGAATCCGCCATATTATTTGTTTGAAGAATACTGTTCAGCTCCTTAATGGTGGCATCCTTCTCTTCACACTCTCTCTTTAGATTGAACATGTCCTGGTCTATTGCGTAAGTGTTCATCTGTTATAGAGGCACAAGCATGAGGTCACTGAAATGCAGACTTGAGACCAATTTCCGGGGTTATTAATACTAAACTATTTCTAAATTCAGCTTTCATTTGTAATCTGATCTTGCAAATTATGTTACCAAGTGAAAAATCTGTAAGAAATAACTACTGATTCTGAATCTTCCATCACCTGCATTTCTGCTGCAGATGTAACACTTGAAGCCCAATCTGACAAATCTGACATGCGGCGCTCTTCTTGTTCCACCTCATTTACGAAAGGCATTTTGTACTGCAGCACCTCATCACCTTTAGACACTTTGACAACAGAGTTCCCCTGATACAAAATTAACAACCTATAGAATTTGAGCATGCAGACACAATCTGATTCTATGATTATAATTACTCAAAACACCAAAAGATACAAACTTAGCATCTAATTAAATGACTCTCACCATCAAACCAGCAAGCAGGTCATGGTGTTGATCACAATACCAACAACCACAGTCAACAAATTTAATTTTATCACAACCAAAAACATCATTACATGGTGGTTCTAAATTCTTGTTGTTGTTGAAAGATGTAATGGTCTTGGTTCCTGCCCGGTTGTTAATGCTACTCAACTGATCACACAGATCATCCAGCTTCTGCTGCATGCTTGATAGCACCTGATCCTGAAACCAGCATTTCGTACAAAGCATTTAATCAGAAAAATCTCATGGCTACAGCCTACAATCCATTCTTTACATCTTTTGAATTTATCTGAATCCTGCTCACGTTCAAACAAAAGGTAATACCGATAGAGAGCAACAGGACAAGGATGGGGTTAGAAGGACCTGTGCACTAGACATGAACATTCAGACCAGTGGATTCAATATTCAAAAATGTTTTCAACCATGATATCTGGAGTCTAATATTTGTAACTGCTGTCTTAACTATCAAAATAGAATACCAGCATTTACAAAGGGATCACCCATTAAGAATCAATTAATCTAATCTAGCGTTAAACCATATCTTTTTAATACTCCAATCATACCAAAGCCCAAGAGTTAAAGAAACTGCTTTCAAAAGCAGAATCTTTAAACTCCTGTGATCCACGGAATCATCATTACAGATAAAACTAATTAATAAACAAAGCCATTAATTCAAACAAACACTCCTAACTAAAATCAGAGAAAACAAATTAAGCCATCAAAATAACACCAAACACCCTCTAAAGTTCCTTCCTTACACACAAAATCAAGCACCAAACCTCCAGTTCACACTCAAAAACTAGAAAAAAATTCATTTCTTAAGCAAACCCACTTTCCAAAATCCAAAAACAACAAACCTGTTCATAAAATGAAGTTAAAATTACTAACCCTAAGCTCCACAGACTTTTTGAGCTGATCAATGATCCTATTCTTCTTAGATTTAGAAACAGCAACCCCAATAACAGCAACAATCAGAAACCTTTGAACAGGACTAAACAGCTCCCAAGCCACACCTGCCTCCCTGCTCAACCCAATGGCTTTTGCCGAGCTAGCTTCCTCAGCATCCACAAGCCGCCCTTGCAAAGACACCCTAGCCATCCGCCGAGCCAATGGGACTGCTAGGTTCGGAGTGCACTGGCTCGAGAGCCGGCGTCGGGAGGGTGGAGTTGAGATTGGAGGGAATGGGGACAGAGTGACAAATGAAGGTGGTTGAGCCACTTGAGCCGGGCCGATGGGGGAGCCGAGCCGGAGGGTGGTATAATCGGCTTGCTCTTCTTGTTCCATGAAGAGAAAGGAAGACAAAAGTGCGTGATTGCAGGGGAGTTCGTGGTTTTCGAACGTTGGAATTTATTTTGTGGGCATTGAATCTGTTTCTATATATATATATATATATATTTTTATATGGATTCAAATTTTGTGATTTGAGAGGGAATTTATTTCTTTAAATTATGAACGTTGAACGTTAGTTGTAGTAATTGGGTTTTTGACACGTGTCCTTCTTCTTCTTCTAGCATGAACAGGTATGCTAGGTCTTGAGGTGACTCTTGGGGTTTTGTTTTTTTCTGAATTTGAATTTGAGAAATTTAAGGATATTTCTTAAAGCATGGTGAGAGATAGGTGAATGGATGCGTGTTTCACTGTCAAAATGTTATTTCCTTAGAGTAAGATTTTGTACTTCCAATCAATTTTTGAGATTGAAAATAAGTTCAATAGATTTTAAATTAAAAATTAAAATTAATTGTGTTGGAGTTAAATTTTTATTTTTTTAATTTAAATTTAGAATATTTAAATTAGAGTCACTTATTGAAACCTTCAAAATATAATTTTGATTTAATTATCATAAACAAAATAAATTTATAATATAATCATGAAAACCAAGTTGAATCTAAGAAAAATTTCGTTTAATCTTTTTACAATTTATTAAAATGAAAAAAAACAGAGGGTTTGAATGAAAAATTTTAAAAACAATAATTGATAAATTGATATGTCGTTAAATCAGTTTAAGATTCTATATATCCATTACTATAAATATGTTTATCATCAAAGTAAAATAAATATTTTTTCATGTTAAGCAAATAAAATTTATATCCTATGAAACTAAAGGAAATAATGAGATTAGGAGTATATTAATTAGAAAGAACTCTCTAATTAATTTCTTACTATCAAATGAATGTAATAATAAACGCAATTTTTATTCACTTGGCAGTAGACATAAAAGTAAAATCTGTATATTTATTCTAAATAAATGTTCAAAAGCTTAATAAGTTAACTTAGTTTATTCTTCCTTAATAAATCAATATGAAAGTTGCAACAATTAAATTAATTTATTTGCTTCTTACTCTAGTCTCTAATAATAATTATAGATTGAAAGAAAATAAAAAGTATACATGTTATTCCAAAACAATTCAATAAGCTTAAATAGCAATCAATAATATAATTTTAAACAAGAAAAAATAAATACTTGAATATGAAAAAATTACAATGATAATGTTACTTTTTACAACTTGCTAATAAAGATGGTATGTATACCTTGTGAACCAAATTCAGGAGTTTTGTTTATAATTACTAAAAACTTGATAAAATTAAAAAAAATGTTTTTTAAACTCTGTTTTATCCATGTTTTGCTCTATTCATTCTCTCATTTGGCTGCTAAATTTCTTCAAGATTCTTAGGATAATTAGAATTCTTCATATTTCTTAATTTATTCATTCTTTATCTAGTCTTTAAAGTTGAATAAATCTTTTAAAATTTATGTGAAAAATTAACTTTGTTGTTGTCACACCTTGGTTGTAATTCTAACTCTATTTCAACTTAAACTTTGTTTCTGATTTGGTTTTTTACGATATCAAATTATCTCAACTATGTTTTTTCATTTATGGCATATTAAAAACTTGATTTATGTCTTTTTTGGTTTTTAAAACTCATCATTTTTATGTCAAATTTTTAATCATAGTAAAATGCTTGATACTATTAGTTTTCTCAAACTATATCTCATTTATAAAACATAGAATCGTGAAATAGAGTCTAAAATTCATATCCCATGCATAAAATTATAACAATACTTTATAAATTATAAAATACAAATCAACTTATCATGTTAATAATATTGATAATAAATTTAACTCCATAAAATATAAAAGGTCTAAAAAATCAGGTTAATTGGGATAGAAATTGAGGAATTTATTAAATAAGCTCATCACCCGTCTTTACCTCTAGTCACAATTCAACCCACTTCTAATTTGATAGGATATGATTTTAATTCCATTAGAATAGATCACATCGAAAACCAGAAAGAGTTAACCACATTGAAATCAAATGTTATAATAAAAAAATATTTGTTTTTCTTTACCTTATTTTCTTTCATTAATGTTTGAATTATAGAAAAAAAAACTTCAACACTCCTAATATATATATATATATATATATCATTCTCTATTCCATTCATTCAAATTAAATTGCATATACTAATTGGTAACTACATTAAAATAAAAATAAGAAGAATTTAACTATATGATTTAAGAGATTTATAAAAATAAAAGTAATATATAAAAATGAAAATAAATATCGAGATTAAGTTTTTTCTCTAACAATCTTAATGACGTATAAGAGATTTATAAAAATAAAAGTAATATACAAAAATGAAAATAAATATCGAGTTTTTCATATTGATTTGGTGTATTAAGAATAATATAATAATTTTCTCTGGATGCTGAGCATAAAATTCGAATTTTAAAAAATAAAAAAGAAAACATTTTTAATTTATCTGAAAAAGAAATGTTACAAATTGCGTGTTTTATGATACTGTGATACTTTTTTGGTCGGAGTGGAAGGATTGAGGTTTGGGCCAAAGTCCACGTTGCAGTCCAGAAGTATAGAGTTGGGCTTTTATTTCCTCATGTACAATGGGCTCATCCCAAATATTCAGTCCTTACTTTGTTATTAGCCCATTCAATAGGCAAGTAAGATTAGAGACAAAAGCCAGCAAAACCAAAAGATTCAAGGAGCATAATAATATAGATAATTGATTAAATTCTAGATTTATGTTGAAAATTATTAGTTGATTTCTATAAATTTTAGAGTTATTATAGATTTATATGGTTATTAATTTTAGATCATGTAAAATTAATCCGAAGATTTATATTAATAATAATAAAAAAAAAATCTAAGCAGGAGCTCAGTCTGCTGTAAAAGCAACGAATAAATGCATCAACACAGAATAGCTGAAGAAAGGAACGGAAGAATACAATATGTTGTTAGACTTGATGAATATTGCGAAAGAATATGACTATATTTAAGGAAGGAGGAGCTATATTTCATTTATATATCAAAATAAGTTATATAATATATATTTATAGTAGATTTTTATAACCTAGAATTATTAATAATTTCTAATAATATTTCTTTATGGACCAACCTCTCAATAATCTCTGACAACAAAACAATAATTTATATTTGTTTCACTCCGCTCAGACATCTGCATGGGAATCACAAACTACAATTCAAAGGCAACTGAATAAACATGAAAAACATCAATAGAAAACCCATTTCCTATAGACTATTCGAACTTTTTAGATACCCCTTTAATGGAGTGTTCTTGGATTAAAGTAGTCTTAGTCTGTCTCTGACGGCAAAGACTAACAAACAGTACAATGAACAGGGAGAAATATCAGAATGTGATGTCTTGAATTCATCTCTCTCCGAATCTGGCAAAAAAAACAAAAGCACCGAGAAGTCTGGTTAAGATTGGCAATGACCATCACTCTGAGATTCTCCTAGCTTCCTCTGGTTCCGTATTTCAATGATCAGCCTGGCATCCTTTTATGCTGGACAGATGAAGACATAGGGATTTCGAGTCTCAGCAGCTTGAGCACAAAGCAGGGTTCTGGGATCAATATCCGCTCAACATAGTTCAACTTCTCTTGTAAGGTAAAATATGTAATCAACAGCAAAATCCAGCAAGTCTGCTACATATTGCACTGTTTGCTGCAGATGGGAAATCAGAGTAAATTTCTCACCCGAAACTAACAGATACAGAAAAAAAAGCTGACGGGCATTGATAAGGGAAAAAAGAAGAAAATCTACCTCAGTTTGAGATGATCATTGATTGGCACCAGCAGACATCGCATAAAACTTCCCCTATCCAGTAGACAAACCAGCAAAATGATCATTGCTACAGCTTCACGAGAGCCACCATTCTCCCATGTTTCTGTTCCGCGTTTCAGCAGTACGAATTCCATGCCTCAGCACAGCATTGCTTGCCATTAGCTAAGATTATATCAGCACATTTTCTTTAGTTCAAGTCAAGATTCATAAAGGAATGTGTAGAAAATGAAAGGCAGGGGCTGAAAACCCACTAATATTGGCACATAAGAATCTTCAATTTTGGTTGAGGACATTGCAAGGTTGAGGACGCTCTGACTGGTTAACCTCTTCTTATCCCAGACTGCTGAAGATGGAATAGTTTCCAGTCTCAGCAGCTTGAGCACAGAGAAGGCTACTCGGATCAACTTTCTTCATAACATGCCATAGCTTGCCTTGATAGTCAACAGCCAAATCCAGCATCTGTGAAATGGATTTTTAATCAACAGCCCTTATCTTAGTATAAATAGGATCATAAAAATCTTCATCATGCTCTATCTAGAGGTTTCCGCCTCTGTTGTCGTCTAAAAAATGAATTTTTAAAGCTGGTCATGGATAATACGTCGTCGTAATATCACACTAATGAATTAATTCTGCAATTTATTTTTAGATGTCTTTTTATCACTGGTTCTTGAATATTTTTAAATAAACTTTGAGTTTGTCCTTGCACCCTTAAACACGCATTAATACTTAATTATCTCCTTTTTTTCTTCTCCAAGTTATAGTTCGTGGGTAGTTAGCTGGTGTTAAGAATATTTATTTTAATGCTTATTAGATGTGTTCAAAGGCACATTTGTCGAAAGATTCCATAAACTAGAATTATATTTCTTCAGTAAGATTACTTATCTTTTTAATGAAGAAAATTATTTGTGGTTCGCATTACTGAACAAACAATCGAAGAAAATTCTTGAAAAGATACATGAAATAATTGAAAGTAACAAATCAATAATTGGTTCTTGATAATTACTTTCCTCTACACACCAACAAATTTCTCTCTCTAGTTTCAATCACTAGATTAATGCTAAACAAGCTGATTTGACGTTTGACGTTTGAAACAGGACAACACCATCGCGTTTAAGACAATTCCTGCCACAAACAAAATTGTATGGTGACTCGTGACTAAAGATATGGGTAATAAATTCTTTTTCTAAGAAAAGGTAAAGAAAATCTTCGTCAATGATGGCTAGTTTACTAGAAAGATAAGATCAACATAAAAGGATACTATTTGGATCCATGCACTTCCATTTTTAGAAAATCCGAATCTATCTCTAATTATGTTTAGTGGTAACAGAACACATAAGTTAAAAGATTTATTTTTTAAAAATAAAAAAAGATATATGAAACAATTTTAAAATGAATTTCAGACATGAAACTTGTCTTTTTTATTTTTAATATCTTCATCTCGACGGTAACCAAGCACTAGCGAATGTTTCCCTCGAGCTATGTTATCTAGTAAATGACAAAGGAATTGTAAGGTTATCTTGGTTGCTTGGTGAAGAATGAGTCCCCCGTCCACTTCGTGATTGAAGACTAGGAACCCTAGTGGTGGTGGAGAAAAGGAGTAAACACACTTCACCTGGACCTTCCCTTCTCACAAGGGAATATAGTGGGACAAAAGAGCAAAGATAAATCAGGAACATATTAGGAAAGAACACACTGCATTCTGTAGCGCTGACCCAAACAAGACAAAGCAAGGTGGGTGGTGGAGCTTGATCAATCCCATTGAGCCTTAAATTAGATCACAAATTCTTCAATCAATGGCGTCAATAGAAGGAGAGTAGTCCCCACCTGCTTCCAACTTATATGAAATGATGCAATCATTAATGGCACCATTAGCTCCACTCTTTATTACAAGACAAAAACCAGTAAAGTGCTAATAATCTTCTTCTTAGCAAGACAAGAAACGAGGGGAATTTATAAAAAGCAGCAGCAACACCACAACTATCTCTTTCTTTTAGCACATAAATTTCCCTTGATTTCGTTAAGTTACAAAGACTAGAACTATATGTTACAACATGCATGCCAGCTGGTTTTCTATCACTTCATCTATAACCATTATAGTGTTTAGGTTGGATGAATCTTGCAGTTAGCTTTAAATGCACTCTTGAGCTTCACTCTCCCACCCCCACATAATAAATAGCCTATGGCTAAGCTGTATCTTCATCTTTTTCAGTGCAGAAGAGAACCTAGCATCGCCTTTATCTCTCGTCTTGCAAATTCTTATTAGTTCTATACATACAAACCAATTCTTACTTTGGGTTTTTCAGCTTGGGCTGCTGCTTCTTTAAGCATGTACATCTTGCACGATTCTCTGAAAGTGCCTGGAAAAAAGAACATGAAACTTGAATGAAACAGAAGAGCTATTTGAACATAAGATGGAACTTCTTCACAGGGCCTTAGGTGGGTGTTTTACTAGAGGGTTTTGGTTTAAATTCGTTGTTGCAGCATACCTTGAACTGTCTTTGAAGGTCTTTAATGTAGTCAACAGCCAAATCCAGCATGTCTGATGTGTTTGTTTGCTACAAATAGGGAAACAAAGCAATATCTAAGCTTAAACAAAACTAGCACAGATATAGAAAAAGGAAGTGCTAGTGAAAGATTCTACCTTGTCCATGTTTGGGACAAGGTCCTGGAGTTTCCTCATTCGTTCACTAATTCTAGTTCTTCTCACCTACACATCATTCATATCTTTAAGGACATCAAGAATTAATCCAAAAAGGGTGATTAAGGGGGAAATTGCAGGTATTAACTATAGAGATTAAAGATCCCAAAACCATGCTTAGCTCAAGGTAGAAATAATGACCAAGAGATGCACTATAGAGACTTTACTCTTTCAGCAATGCTTCTTGGATGGGTGGCACAACCACGCTTGGCTCTGATCTTACAAGGAACAGAATCTTGAAATTGCAAAAAGTTTTCAATGGTAGACATCTCTGCTGATGTTTTTGGCAAGCTCAAGTGATGAGCCAACATTGGAGGGCGATTTCCTGCCTCTTCATTCTGCTAGCAACCAGACTTATGGTAAAATAAAAAATCTCAAGCAAAAGTGATCTTATCAAACTTGAATCCATGTTTTCCATTCCATTATCCTATAAACTAAAACATATGCAAATCGTTAAGATAGATGAAGAATTAACACATGCCAGTATAGAAAACTGTGGCACCTGAGTTCCCGATGAATTTAGACCAGAAAGTGTTCTGTCATCATCTGTAAGGTGTCTTTTTGAACCAGTAGACATCACAGCCGAATCATCCCATGATCCAATAGGGTAATCATAATTATTGCCAGGAGTTTCACCAAAACCACCACTGTCTGGGCTATTTTCTCCCATGTTTTTGTTTCCCATATCAGCGATTGTACTCCTTACCAGTGAAGATGAAGGTGGTCTACCAGCTGCAGAATAAGTTGTGTCTCTATTACCAGCTCCAAGATCTCCCATATCTCTCAATACAGCATAGCCTGCCATATCCTAAGATTATTTTTGTCCGATTTTCATAACTCCAGTCAATCAAAACTCAAAACAAGAAACTGAGTGGCATCAAAGAAGGAAACAGAAAACTCACTCTAAGACCATGAATCAAACAACTTGGAGTATTAAAAATAATAAGTCCTGTTGATATTTCAAATTTTTTTAACTCCCACTTGCTAGTTCAAATGATTGCTTATGAGAAAAAGAATTTAATCAAAAAACTAATAGCACTTGACTTAACTGAAACTGTCCATTCATAACACAGAAAATTTCAACTTTCTACACTTTCTATTATTTCTCTGCCTTCCTTCCATTCTATTCATTGGTTACCTAAAAAAGCACAAGCTAACAGAAAGCCTTAATTTTTTTTTATCAAATCAAACACTTTCTTATCATTTTTCTCAATCTTCTAATGACTGAAACAAAAGGGTATCAAAACAAATGGACAAACTTAACATACCATTTTCAAATTCAATATTTACGTTGGAGAAAAGCCCTGCTGGTGAGCTACTGTGTCGAACTAGATTCGGATTGTTTCCACTGACAGGCTTCATGGAAGGCAACCTCTCCAACCCTGTTAAATTCGTTGATCTATGATTCATACCAGAACCTGGATTATGATCTGGTAATGGAGGTTTTGATCGACTTTGATAAAAACCCTGCGAGGCAGAGTAATTGCCCTGTTGGTGCTGCTGATCTTTGATAAAAACCCTGCGAGGCAGAGTAGTTGCCCTGTTGGTTCTGCTGATGCTGATGTTGATGCAGCCTCGTATCACTACTATGATTATTCATTGAAGCCATCATCTGGGGTTGCTGGTTAATTTGTGAGACTGATTCTTTTACTGGAGAATCTTGCTTAATCTCACAAAGATTTGAACCTGGTATATTCTCTGTATTGCCACCGGAATTGGCTAAAAATCTCGCGAAAATTCGTTCTGTTTCTGGGCTTGTTGGCCTATTGAGAAACTCTTCACAGAAGTCTCTGTCTAAATTACTTGAAAAATATGAACTTGGTGCAGACTGATATCTTGTCAACCCAGAATTCATTTGTTTCTGATGAATTTGTTGGTGCTGGTTATGACCATGAAGAAAATGATGTTGGTGTTGAAGATCTGACTCCATTGAATCCCCTGTTTCTTGATTAAGTTTCTAAGGAGAAAGGCAGCTCAGTTGCTTTCTGAAAGGCTTGTTTATTTTCTTCCAAATCAGATCAAAGACAAAGACTCACGAATAAAGAAGCTGAACAGAAGTAACAAGAGACAGAAACAAGCAAATCCATGTGAATTCTACTGAAACAGGGAGAACAGAGCAAGAACAGAGAGCTAGATGAAATCCTGCTTGAATTTTAGCATAACAAACAACAGTTTTCAAATCTGACAACAGCCCCTTTTTCTTACCATGAAACTAAGCCAGCTTCACTCAAGAAGATAACATTAACAACAAAAAGAAGCCACTCAAAAAAAGAACAGCTTATCTTTCTAGAACAAGAACAGAACAAGAACAGGACAAGCACAAAACCCTCTCTAAGATGCTTCAAAAGGGTGAGGGTCGTGGTGGTGGTGGTGGTGGGGGAGGTGGTGTCAATGCCATTGAGTGAAGGGAGAGACTGGATTTTTTTTGGTTGAAATATTAAAGAAAACAAAATTAATTTATAAAACCATTTTCTTTCCTCTTCTACGAGTATGGCAAATGAGAATCAATAAAAGAATAGAGATTAGGCCGTCAAATTTGCTATTAGTCTAACGATTTGTCGGACCTTAATGCCCTCATTGTTTATTTATTAGAAAAAATGGCTGCGTTACATTAATGACATGTAAATATTTGTAGGGTTTTGTTACAAATAAAATATTTTAAGATATGAGATCATTTTTTTAAAATCATAAAATGTTACAAGAGGTCATTTATTTTGCATTATATATAAAATATATTTTTATATATAATTTTTTTAATAAATATTAATGTAAAAAAATATTAGTAAATAAAATTTAGTGATTGTAACGTGAGGATGAGAGTGCCGCTGGTAGCGGCATATTAAAGAAGTAATGGTCACTGGAATGGTTGAAAGATGCTGTGAAAGATGTATAGAAAGAATTCCTTGTTTCCAAAATATTTTATGAAAATTTATGAATTGAAATTATTTTTTTTATAAATAAATTAAATTTAAAAATTGATTATAAATATTTTATGATTAATTTGTAACATATTTTGCAAAAAATCAATGTAGAATTTTTCTTTAAACAAGCAAAACAAAAATATAAGATATAGTTTATTTTTTTATTAATGTGGATGTTCGAGTCTTCTTGTTTACATCTCAATTAATCAAAAATATAAGATATAGTTTATTTTTTTTATTAACGTGAATGTTCGAGTCTTCTTGCTTACATCTCAATTAATTCTACGAACTCTGAAATTAACAATTATATAAGCTTTTAGTAATCTTACGAGTTTTGAAATTAACAATTATGTAAGCTTTTAGTAATCCTGATATTTATGAGATTCATAATTATTAATATTTATGAAACTCAAACTAATAACTTTTAGAAAATAAATCTAAAATTTAATTAATAAAATTATACTTCTTAAAATTAATTTATTATTTTTATTGTCCCTGGGTTTAGTGATAATGGGGTAGGGGCATATGATTTATTAAAAACATTTTAATAAAAAAAATTGCTTTTCAAAAAATTTTATCTATCAAATAGTGACTTCTTTTATTGGTTTTCCTACAAAACAATCACAAAGCTAAACACTATTGAGTGTATTTCACATTATGGTGTGGGGAATTTTATTTATTAAGTTTTTTATTTTAAAATATTTTTTTATCTCTTTTATTTTGAATTTGTTAAAATTATTCATGTTTTTTCAAGCTAGATGCATTTTTAAAATACACACTATTACAATTTTAAACACGAAAACAAACCCCCATGGTTATGGTATTACTATTGCTATGGAAAAAATCTCAATCCTCTTAAAGTTAAGTCTGATTCATTAGAAGTAATTCGTTATGCATTCTCTTATGGGTAAAATCCATTCTCGTTTCATTTTTAATTGAAATACTCAGAAGTGTATGCCATCCCTTGATCTTTATAGATACATACCCTTTATAAAGGTAATCAATCTGTTGATTTCATCGCTTGTTTTTTTTAAAAAAAAGATTGATTATTTTGGTAAATTTAGCATTATTTAAAAAAATAGGGAAAATTGATGAATTATTAAAAAATAAGTGAAATATAAATATAAATCAAATCAAATCATTATTTCTTCTAGCCTTAAAATTAATTATTAATATTCTAATGTTTGACATAGATTCTTTCGTGTTTATCTAACTAAAAGAACTTTGCAAATTTAAGACTAAAGTTTTAAGCTAACTTTTTTGAATTTATAAGTTCTAAATTAACCGATTCTAACATTAGATTTAGTCTTAAATCTACTCGTATAATTTAAAATTTATATTATAAAATTATACAAATATTAATATAATTAAATCTACTTTATAAAAATAGTAATTCAACTCAAAAGATAATTAAATAATTAAAATAATTTGAATGTAAAATAAACTTAATAACTTAAGAAAAAAACTTTGATTATATTAATGAATTGAAACTTTTAGATAATAAAACATCTTTTTGGTATTTTTTATTTATGAAATTGAAATTACAAACCTACTAATTTAAGAAAAATTACAAATTTATTTAACTATCATTTACAGAATTATCACCTATTATTTTTAACTTTGAAAGATTATGAGAATTTGATAAAACTATAGTACAGTAATTTGAGTTTTTGTTGAGTTTTCTATATCCCTTCATCTTCATTATGTCTACCTTATATAGTTGAGCGATATTAACTATCAATAATCTTTTATATTTTATATATTAACTGGTAATAATTTTTATTTTCAGAGTTTTTTTAATAATCTCACATTCATAGAGTCACTGTTACCTTTTAATTTACTTGGTTTATTATAACTGCTCATATTATGCCTGTATCGATTTTTTTTCCTGTATGCTTTTAATTTTTTAATTATCAAATAATTATCTTTTATCCTTTTTAACATCCTATTAAATTTACAGTAGAACACCAACCTAGAACTTTGTCATTGAGTTCTTGGAGCTATAAAGTACCTTCATTTATGATGAGAAATTATTTTGTGTACTGCTTGTCTCGTGAATTCGTGACTCAATGTAACAAAAATGACATAAAAGACATTTGAAATCAAATGCCAAATTATTGTACATGTCCCTCTTCATGATGATTTTTCTTCTTCTTCAATCCCTTTTTTTATTATTATTATTATACGATATTATTAATGAAAAGAATTTCGGTTCACCTTTCAAGGGTTCTATTTATTTTGTATAATACACAAACCAAGCTAACTTCTGTTAGACGATACGACTTTGGAAAGTTAGACGGCGTCTCTTGGCAAACGAGGGCTTGCAAATTTCAACGCTTGTGAAGGCTTGAGTTGTCGGTAGTCGTCTGTAGCGTTTTGGAAATTTCCAAATGTTCTCCATGACTTGAATGCGTAAGGGTACATTTATTTAAAATTTATTCTATTTAATAATCTTCTAGTAATCCAACAAAAATCTCTTAAAATCACGGCACAACTAAATTTTAAATTTTCTCGTTCACGGCACAACTAAATTTTAAATTTTCTTGTTTAACAAAAATAATATATATCACAATATAACTCGTATTTCACCAAGAAACCTTTGGACAATATTGCCCTCAATCTTTCTTCTTGTTTTTTTTTTTTTTGAGAAAAACAAGTGATGATTAACAAAGGGACACAACGGACTTCTTAGTATGATTTTTCTACCAAATACCTTGTACAAAACAGAAAATTCCCTCCAACATTATGGGAGACATGGCAAAACAATACTTAGATATATGAGTTCTATATAATTAGATTTTGACAAATAGGAGAGTGACAAGTTCTATTTTATTCTTGGGAGAATAAAGTACACTTAGAAAGCTTCAATAATTTATTTTTATAAAAAATGAAAGATGGGTACAATGCTCTGTTTTTTTATTTGTTACATAAACCATAGCATTCTATTGATGCACGCTTAGATGTAATATATTGAATTGGATTTTTTTTAATAATTTATGGGATTTATTTATTTATGAGGGTAACATTAATTATAATTGCAAAAACAAAAGTATAATAAAAATCAACCCACTCGATTTAGAAATTAGTTAGGTTGAGTTTCATAAGAATTATAAAAATTGACTCGATTAAAAATTTATGTTGATCTAGAATTCAGATATTTGATAAAAAAAATTATTAGTTTTTTAAATGATAATATTTTAATTTTAAAATAAAATAAAATTAATCAAAATTAATTTATTTAACCAATAATTTAAATTTTGAGCCTGAATAATTTTCAAATTGAGTTTAATAACTCTGAAAAAAAATATCATTCTTAAACATGATTAGTTATATGATTGTGAGTAAAATATTGCACAATATCACCTTTACCAACCATGTCTAGATTGTCCATGTTGTTGTATTAATCAAACAAAAGTAAGCCCTTCACCTACCTTTCTTTTTCCCTTTTTGGGAGATAATGGCCTCCAAAAATATTGCACCTTGATTTTGGGTTCGGTTCCTTGTAAACGTGAAGAAGAATACCATTGAGAAAATCAAGTCTAAAGTTGTATCAAAAGTTTGCTAAAATAACCTTTTTATACTATGTAGTTCATGACCAATCACAACTTGTATGCCATTGCATCATCTTTTAGACCTTGTTTTTTTTCTTTGTTTTAATCATAACCATTGGGTTTCCCTGCGTGCTAGTACATTTATTTCACACATTCATATCTCGAATTAAAATATAAAAAATAGCAAAATAAAGTTTCTTTTAAAAGTACATAAGATTCAAAATAAAATAGAAAAAACAAGTTAACATTGGGATTCATAAAAATCACCAGAAGACAAACCTCAATTCGAGTGGAGTGGGAGCACAATGATCTCAAAATTTACTTTATTTTATTTCCACTAACGACACAAAGATTATATAATAAGAGAAGTGTTTGTCTTTGATGTAAAGTTTCAATTATTTTTTTCATTGCATATCTTTTACACGTGACGAGCCATATCTTGGCATGTGCGAATCTTAGGGTCCAGAAAATATAAATAGCAAAAAACTAAAAACTAAAAATCAGTGCCAGTATTGATGCGAACAAGGTCGCCTTCCATGCGTGTTCTGCTGCAATGGCATTGGACCACCCTCCATCATTTTGGGAGAGCTTTTTGTCAACGTTTCGTCCATACAGTAAATTTGAAAGCTTCCACTTTTATTGTAAAGAATGATCATTTTTTTGCTTGCACCTGAACGATGGAGAAATTGTACAATTAGGATATTAATAGGAAAAAACTGATGTAATAATATTGTTTGATTTTTTTTAATGTAATAATATATTTTTATTTTATTGTATTTTTTTAAATACAATAAAATAAAAATATGTTATTCCATTAAAAAAAATCAAACAATATTATTACATTTTAAAATACAATTAAATAAAAATATATTATTATCTAGCTCAACCGGTTGATCAATATGTAATGGTCGGTGAAACCGGTCGCCTAATTTAAAAAATAACAAGTCATTTGATTAAAAAATAACAAAAAAAATCTTAAATTTATTAAAATTAAAAGGCTTTAGAGAGATCTATTATATTCAAAGATTTGATGGCCTGCATAACAATGCAGTGAC